ACACACACACACACACACACACACACACACTGTTCTCAGACTGGGTTGTCATTTCATATTCTGGAGAAGGAATCACAGCCAGCCTCCCCCTCCTCACTGGGCTGTGGGCCACGGTCCTGCTTCCACCAGGAGAAAGCCGGCAGCTCTGTGGGACACGGGGGCAGCCTGACTTGTGGCAGAACTCGGTACGGCTCAGAAGACTCCTGGAGACCCCATTGATGAGCAGGGTGATGCCCGGCTAGTGGTCCCACCTCTGTGGGCTTCAGTTACCCTCACACACAGAAAGCACTTCCCTGCGGCCAGCAGCAAGTGGCCAGCAGAAAGCAGGCGGCCATGGCAGGGGTGTCCGGGGAAGGCAGGGGGCTGCTGGGCACTGCAGGAAGGGCTCCGCCGAGCTTGGCAGAGGAGAGAGCACTGGGTGTTGGAGGGACCTGGAAGAGTTGGGCTGGGGGCAGATGGCAGGAGAGGAGAATGCCCCTTGGGAAGCAGGACTGGGAAGGCAGTGTTAGGGTACAGCCCCCAGCACCTTCTTTGCTTGACTTTGTGGGTTTCTCCGCAGGGTTGCTCAAGAGCCGTTATTTCCAGCGCACCTGACAGCTGACCGTGAGGCGCCGTCTTCACCTGAGGACAGTGTCCAGCGGGCGGGAGAGGGCTTTGTTTGTGCTGACACCTGCAGAGATGGGGCCGCTGGATACAATCGTAAGGCAGGAGAGACTCTGGGTTTCCATCAGAAGGAAGAGATGCAGCTAAGAAAAGCAACCTGTAAGACGTCAGAGAACCAGGGCAATCTGGTAAATAAAGAGCTACGGTAAGGGTTCTGTTACAGAACGAATCGAGACTTCACCCACAATTCAAAACAAACGAAAATCCTCCCTGCCATGGAGTCAATGCTGACTCATAGCACCTGCCCCTGTAGGACAGGATAGAATTGCCTCTGTGCTTTTCCCAGATGGTAACTCTTTGTGGGAGTAGAAAGCCCCATCTTTCTCCTGAGGAGCGGCTGGTGGCTTCGAACTGCTGAGCTTGCAATTAGGAGCCCAGTGAGTAAGCGCTACGCCAATTCCTAAGCCCTGTTATCTCGGGGTGTGATATGACTCGGCCATACGGTGGTTCTGGAGATGTGATCAGTGAACATGAGGTCAGACTGGAATGGGGGGTTGGGGCTGATTCAATAGGAGTGGTGTCCCTTACCAAAGAGGAGACAAGACAGAGGGGAGCCGGCCACACGAAGACAGGGACACTAATGGGGTGATGTGTAAAACTAAAGGGACCATCAGGCTACCAGAAGCTGGCAAAGACCGAAGGGCTCTTCCCACCACAGCCTTTGAAGAGAGCATGGCCCTGCCACCACCCTCAGTTCTGACTCTGGCCCCCAACTTGTGAGGGAACCGATCAGGTCTTTTTAAGTCACTCCGTTTGTGGCACTGTTTCGGCAGCGCCATAAAATGAACGCAGACCATTCGCCCCGAGGAAAATGAGACGAACACAAGTAACCCCCTTTGAAGAACCAGGCAAACACAGAGAGAGCCTCAGACCAGAGAGCCCTCTCACTGCATGCAACGCCCTGCAGTCTGTCTGAATATGAAGCTTCCGTGTGGTTACTATGTTGTTTTTTAATAGGACCAAGTGATATTGGCTAATTGGGGAAAGGTTTATTTTGGACCATTTGCAAAGGGCCGGCGGGGTGGGGGTGGGGGGTGCAGAGGGGAAGGACGACTCGCTAGCTGAGCCCTGGTCATCAGGCCCCTTCAGAAGCCGAGCTGGGTCTAGGACTCAGATTTTCCAGAGCCCTGCGTGACCCTCATCTTTTGAGGGGGTAGAAAAAGTCGAGGTTAATTTTCAGTTGTCTACATCGTCCACATTGAGGAAATGAGGCACAGATAATCCCAAGCAGTGAGTAATTCCCACACCAGCCATGTCTCTAGTCTGGTCATTTGCTTTGGAAGCTTCTTGACAACTTCAGAAGGAAGCCACCAGATTGGGGTGCTGGCTGGTCCTGGATGTCCCGCCTTCCCTCGTCAAAGTCATCCTGCGTCCTGTTCCAGGAGGACCTAATGGCAGCAGATGGAGGGGAGGGGACTCTTCAGCTCCATCATAAATTGGTGCTGGGCAGTGGGAGGCAGGCAAGACATAAGTCATTTCTATTTAAAATGCTTGCTATGGGGTCACCAACTAACAGAACTCACCCACCCTTGCCACCGAGTCGATTCTGACTCATAGTGACCCTACAGGACAGGGTAGAACTTTCCCTATGGGTTGCCAGGATTGTAACTCTTTACACTAGTAAAAAGCCTTATCTTTTTCCTTTGGAGTAGCGGGTGGTTTCAAACTGCTGGCCTTGACGTTAGCAGCCCAATCAATAACCACTAAGCCATCAGGGCCCCTTCAGCTAGAACAGTCACTGTAAACAAGACAATGAATTGTGTCCACCAAAGACTTCCATATGGACACTGACTCATTATGGTAATAAGGACGTGGAAGCCAGAGGTTGACTATATTCTGATTTCATGGCTGGGGGATCCGTGACTCAGAAGGGGGGAACATCCAAATTTGAGGTCAGAGTCCAAATTCCATCTCCAAGCTCCCGACTCCAATTTGGTTTGTCTAATTACTATCATCTCCTAATAGCTAAGGCTGTTGTAGAGCCAGATGGCTCTCACGGCCAGGACCTGAGTGGAAATGCAAGAGATGCTTAAGGCTGAGAACTGGTGATGGCTGGAGTCAAGAGGAGCCAGTTCTTCATCAGTCCAGCACATGTTGAACGCCTACCAAGTGCCAGGAGGCGGGCTTGGACAGAGAGGGGGAAGCAGGGATGAATCAGACATTGACCCAGACCTAAAGCAACACGGGGTAAACAGAGCCCGTACAGAAATCTCTGTGATACACCCATCAAGGGCTGTGAGATGAACTCTAAAACAGGGCTGGGCTGTTTAGTCTTCCATTCAATGAAATCAGTCCATCCGCCACTTGGGCACAGTCTTAATGCCTCTGGAGACAATGCTAAATAAAGCTCATGGCCACCCCCATGAAGCTCCCCTTGAATACTTAAACTGAGTAACTGAGGGGGCTTCTCAAAAGACAGTCCCCCAGCTCCCAGCGCAAGCATACTGACTCAGGGTGAGGGGCTTGGAAAATGTTGCCCAAGAGACCCAGAGCTCAGCTTCTAGGCATTCTCCAGAGAGGAGAGGGGGCCAGAGAATCAGGAGTTCACAGCCTACCCAGCCCCTACTGATCCCCACCTTGGCTGAGCCCAGCCTCCATCGGCTCCACACCCTGTCTGTACACAGCTCTCCTGGGTGACCACGCAGAGCACATGTACTCCGGCATTCTCACAGAGGTGGTGTTCCAAGGTCATTGTGACCAGGGTTCCGGGGCTCTTGTGACCACTGGCTGGCTCAGTCCAGGTGCAGACGGGCGGTCAGACGAGAACCAGTCACTCCTGGGAATGCAACTCCTCACTAAGTAACTCTGCTGATTACGTGTCCTGATTAGGACTCCAAGTGAGCACTGGTCAGAGTCTGGGTTGAAGACAGCGAGCCGGGACCATGACCACCCTGTCTCCCGAGAACAGCCTCTCAGCCATGCGGTCAGCCTCCTTCATCCTGGTGCGTGTTCTTCATCAGCTCTCAGTCTCTCTCCCCAGGTGCCCAGGGGCTTATACATAGGGCTGTTAATCACAAGGTCAGCAGTTCAAAAACACCAGCCATCCTGTGGGAGAAAGACGAGGCTTTCTACTCCGATACAGGAAACTCTCAGGGCCAGTTCTGGTCTGTCCCATCCCGAGTGTTTTGCCAACAATTTTGGTACGCTGCCACCAGCCAGCAGTGGTGTTTTTGTTGGTATAGGTGGCCCTGGCCCGCGATGCTCTAAGATTCATTAGCTGTTGGTCACAGTCATAAAAATTTTCCACACAGTATCTTTTACAAAATTATAATAACTAATCATAATGACCTTAACCAATCTCAAGTCTCATTAATCCTCGTGATTAAGAGAGTGATACATAAAAAGCAGACATGCAAAACAGACACCCCTCTCTCGGTCAAGTTTGAACTGTTAGGATCTCTTGCAAATTCTCACCAGGCTTGATTTCCATTTTCTTTCTATTGTCTTCATTTCTCTGAACTTAGGGAACAACAAACTCTCACGCAGCCCGCTTTGTGTGCAGACTGTCCTCAATGCGCGGTTTATAGTCGTTCGTTCTCATCTCAACCCTGGGGGGCAGAAGCTGCTGGTACCCTCATGCCACAGATGGGGAAGTCGAGGCACAGAGACTCAGTAAGGTCCTCAAGGAAGGGGCAGTGCTGGGATTTGAAGGCAGGAAGGTGGGCCACAGAATCCGTCCACTAAACCAGCGATTCTTCCCCTGTAGTGTCCGGATGGGCAGTAGATGCATGCCCTGGGGC